AAAAAAAAAATCTTTGTCTCCAGGGAGCAGCTTCAATTTGTATGCTGAGCAAACAATTTATGAAGCCAGACTCTATTAAGAAAAATGTGGCAAAAGGACTGGAGGAAGGCTTCTCAACAACCTGCACTATGCAAAAGACACAATCTTGCTTGTGGAAAGCAAGGGGTCTTGAATTGCTTGTTGTAGACAATCCAAGACTATAGCCTTCAATATGAACTTATCATTAAGAAGACAAAGGTCCTAACCACTGAGCCATTGGGCAACATCATGTTAAAGGCTTGAAACTGTTACTGTTTTCTGCATGCCTAGATTCACAATCAACAATCTTGCTACCAGCAATCAGGAAATAAGGAGGCATACTGCTTTGGGCAAGTCCACTGTCAGGGATCTCTCCAAAATATTGAAGAGTAGTGATATCAGTTTAAAGACTGAGATGCACCTGACTCAGGACATACTCTTTTCAATTATGTGCTATGCATCTGATGATTAATAAGGATAATAGAATTCATGCCTTTGAGCTCTGGTGTTGCAGAAGAGTACTGAATATCCCATGGACTGCCTAAACAACATAGGACAGAGGAGAAAGAAAAAACTGGAATGGATGTTGGAAGAGACTCTAAAAATGTCACTAGAGCATCGAAAAGCCAAAACAAAAGGGAAAGGATATTAAAGTGAAAGAGCTGAACACAAAATTTATTTCAAAGGATAGCTCAAGAAGATAAAGCTGAGGTGGGGGAGGGCTGGGCGGGGAGAGAAGTGCAGCAATGCATGAATGGAAATCCAGAATCTCTATAAATGCTCGTTAAAAATTTTTTTTAAAAAAAGAAGATAAAGCAAAGTATTATTCCAACAGAAAGCTGGAATCAGAGAATAAAAAGGGAAGAACTCACTCTGCATTTCTCAAGCTGAGGGAACTAAAAAACAAATTGAAGCCTCAAGTCACAATATTGAAAGATGCTATGAGTAATATGTTAAATGATCCAGGAAACATCAAAAGAAGATGGAGGGAATACACAGTCACTACACCAAAAAGAACTGACTGACACTGAAAAATTTTAGGAAGTAGTACCATACGAGCAGGAGCCAATGGTGATGAAGGAGGAAGTGGAAGATGCATTGAAGGCACAGGCAAAAAAATAAGGTCCCAGAAATTGATGAAATACCAGTTGACTTGTTTCAATTAACAAATGCTGTCCTGAGTGCATTCACCAGTCTATGCCAGGAAGGTTGGAGGACAGCTGTTTGGCCAACTGATTGGAATAGGTCCATATTTGTTCCCATTCCCAACAAAGGTGATCCAACTGAATGTGGAAACTATCAAACAATATAATTACTATCACAGGCAAGCAAAATCTTCTGAAGATCATTCAAAAATGGCTAGAACAGTACATAAATAGGGAACTGCCAGAAGGTTCAAGCAGGATTGAGAAGAGGCCATGGCACCAGGAATACCACTGCTGAAGCCAGATGGATCCTGATTGAAAGTAGAGAATACCAGAATGCTTGTTTGTGCTTTATTGACTATGCAATGGTATTTGACCATATGGATCATAACAAGTTATGGCTAACTTTAAAAATAATGGAAATCACAGAGCACTTAATTGTACTCATGAGAAAGCTATATCTACACCAAGAGTCTGTTTTGCAAACATCAAGGGAATACTGTTGTTGTTGTTGTT